TTTGCAACTGCAAAATGACATCATCCTTACTCTTAATGAACAATATTATAGTCTATTGGCATGCTTACTCATTAGCATAGCCAACCTAAGCAAGCTAACTCGCTAACCCTGCAGTAGATTATGGTTTTTGTTCAGTACTGAGGATTTTGTTTAACTGTACTAATTTCACTTTAGAAAACCAGCTTAGCTCTGAAGAAGCACAGACATTTTGAAAGAAGCACAGGAGCCAATATTGTCCCCCTGCAGAGCCAGAGAGCCACTGTTTTAGACGTGCGCAGTTTCAGAGCCACCATTTTAGATGTGCGTGAGCTCGAGAGGACGGGGTCTCTGTCAGTCATTTTTTAATGTGGCCAAACAGAGGCTCACAATCACCTGTCAGTCGAACACTTGTCAGTTTTAAATTCAGCCAACCAATTCACAGTAGTAGGGGTAGTCAACATTTCATTTACCTAGCTATGCTAGCACTAGCTAGTGTCTGCGTATCAACCCCCGATCATAATGGAATATAGTAACTCAACTACTGCTCATTTTAGAAGGACCGCCACCAGAAAATGTGTTCCTTGTTTAAATTACAGCATAATTAACTAACAATGAATCATAGTAGTTTGTTTCTGGCCGCCAGCATTAACTAGCACAGCTAGCACTTAAGTGCTAGCACACACGTTAGCTAGCACAGCAAGCATGCCAACTAAGTTGTCTGTTTCAACTTCAAAATGTTGATAAAAACGTTGCTGTCTGTTGATACTTTGTTGAGGGGTAATGCTAAAATGGAAGGACAAGTCCACCTGTCCAGAGGGAAGGGGCACGAAACCTCTGGGGAAGACAGTGACAAAGTCCAGGGGTGTGTGGACACTGGAGGAAAGCCAACTGAACTCAGCGACGTCCTGCTCTCCCTCTGGTTCTTCTAGCTGAGGAGCAGAACACAATCTGGGTCAGAAGGGTTTGAGGGAGGCTCCTTAGGGGCTTAGAGCTAGGACGCTTGTCATATTATTTTTTTTTTGGTCCATGATTAAAGAGCTAATAAGGAGACAGCGTTAGCTAGCATGCTAGTGCACTAGGTAGTGGAAATCTATTAGCAGTAGCAGAAATCTATTTTTGCTTTAAACAAGAACTTGTGAACGCAGGGCTAACGTTATTTTTACCAAGGATCTATAATATGTTTTTGGCAATCTCTGTCTGTAGAATGTACAACTGGGAGCCTGGTACTCGTGCATGCGTAGGTCTAAAATGGTGGTCCTGAAACTCACACATGCACACGTGTAAAATGGTGGCACTGAAACTCACACGCGTGCAACTAACTTGCTGTTTAATCTGTAAGATTAATTTTTTAGGTTAAGTAGCAATCAAAATGGAGAGGCAAAATGTCAACCATCCTGACGCAATTATGATTATGATTAAATGAGGAAAGTTTAATCGAAGAGATCAAACAGTTTCAGCAACAGATTTCAGTTGTTGCTACAGTGGAGAAAGAACTGTCCACCAAAAAGTCCCTCAGAGAGCAGAAGGGTCATTCCTACTATTCGGTGTCATTTCAGCCTGGTTTACTTTATCAAAAAAAAAAAGTTACATTTTCCATGATTTTATTATTTTATCTGAATGAAGACTTATTAAACTATACGAAAACTATATTGGTCCAGCTCAGGATATTAAGGTCTAATAATTTTGCCAATTCAAACACTGCAAGCAAACACAAAGAAATGCTTAGTATTTGTTATTTTTATTTTATTGTTATCAAAAAACACACAGGTAACAGGGTGGACCTCACATCAGTGGACAACAGTGGACACATAATTTTAATGTTCATGTAAATGTATTCAACATTTACATGAACATGAAAATTATAAACATTACTTGCAATAATAAAAAAAAAAGGTCATTAGTCAAATTAAAGTGAGTTGTGCTTTATACCTGTGGTTGTAAGACCATCCCTTTATTAACTCCATAAACTCCCCTGTTTATTTATATATATATTTATTTATTTATGTATATATTAATTAATTAATTTATTTATTTGTTCCCGAATAGTAGGAATGACCCAGAAGGAGTATGAACTGAGGAGGTTTCGAAAGACTGAGTCAGTCAACAAGAAACTGACTTCGGAGGTGCAGACGTTGCAGTGCGAGGTAGCAGTTTTACAGGGAAAAACACGTCTTCCTTAAAGAGACTGGAGGAGCAGAAACAACTGCTGAAACAAAAGGACGCAGAAAAGAAGAAGATGACGGATGAGCTTACAAAAGTGAAAAAGTTTTGCGAATATTACAGAGTGGAGGTAAAAAACCTGGTCCCTTATAAAGAATATGGCGTTAGAGCCAAAAAAAAATTGGCAGAACTGAAGAAGGAAATGGAAAATCAAACACAACAAAATAAAATTCAGCACGATGATATCGGTTGCTTGAAAAGGCAAATTAAAAGCCTACAAAGTGACAAAAAGGAGCTTCTTCTATTTATTTATTTATGTATTAATTAATTAATTTATTTATTTACACAATGTGATAAATTTACTCACTCACACACAACCATCAACTGTCTTAAGATTAAGAAACCTGTGGTTGTAAGACCATCCCTTTATTAACTCCCTAAACTCTCCTATTTATTTATTTATTTATGTATATATTAATTAATTCATTCATTTATTTATATATATATTAATTAATTAATTAATTTATTTATTTATTTATGTATATATTAATTAATTAATTTATTTATTTATGTATATATTAATTAATTAATTTATTTATTTATTTATTTGTTCCCGAATAGTAGGAATAACCCAGAAGGAGTATGAACTGAGGAGATTTTAGAACACTGAGTCAGTCACTAAGAAACTGACTTCGGAGGTGCAGACGTTGCAGCGTGAGGTGGCAGTGTTGACAGGGAAAAACACGTCTACCTTAAAGAGACTGGAGGAGCAGAAACAACTGCTGAAACAAAAGGACGCAGAAAAGGAGAAGATGACGGATGAGATTACAAAAGTGAAAAGGTTCTGCGAATATTACAGAGTGGAGTTAAAAAACCT